TTAATCACAGGATTGAATGTAATTTCACCAATAAATTTACTTTTATCAACACCACCTAATGTAAATGTTCCTTGATCATCGGACTTTGATGAATGTTGAAAATGAAAGCTAAAAATTGGGTCAATTTCATTTTGGTTAATTAAAGTAGAAATTAGGGTTGGAGCACCATCATCCAAAACATTTACATTGTCAAAAGCTAATCCTAAAATTCCATCGAAAACATCTTGTTTAAAATCATCAGTTTCTTGATTAGCGAGACCAAAAATTTGATTATCAGCGATAAAGTTTCCAATTTTAACACTATCGATTCCAGTAATACCAGAGGCACTGCCAATACCATATTGGATTGACCATGGATTCCCTTCTGGTTTAAAAGTTGGCGAGCTACTTGAATCAAATCCAGCATGTTTTTTGCAAGCAGAGGAAGTGCAATCCTTATTTGGAACCCAGAGACTTGAAGACCCGGTGTCTAATTGAACTGTGAATTCTTGATTTCCAATAAGAATTTTTACATAATATGCTATATCTGGGTTCTCATCACTTAATCACTTATAAAGATTGTTTGGCTGTTAGAAGTTGATACATCAGAGAATATTTTATTGTTAGAGGTTGATACATCGGAGGATGTTTCATGGTTAGAAGTTGTTGGATTAGAAGTTGAAACACGATCTTTGTATTTATTTATGGCTGTTTTCCTTAATTTAGATACCCAGTATACCCAGTCCATTGCATTTGTGTCAGTGGACTTTACCAAGTTAGTGGTAGGCAATTTCTTGTAATTAGGATATGCATTTATGTTATAAATGGTGGCTACGGATAAGATGATAAAAAGAAAAACAAAGTTCATTATTACTATCAAAGTTTGGTTGCTATTAAGGAAATATAAATAGTATTAGATTTTTTTTTGTAATGTTATGAAAAAAGGTGAATTAACGGTCATTTCCATGAAGATTTTAAGCCCTTTTATTTATTTAATTTGGTATGTAGAATATTTATTAAATCTTCAAAAGGTGCGTACAAAATTATTTATTATCTGCGTATACATGTATGTATGCTTAAATAGCCCATCTTAACAAAAAAGGAATTCCAGCATTTAGGCAACCGAAATTGATCTTATTTAGTTCCGGAATTAAATTTTTCTGAAATTTTTTGAACTATTTTCATCACATAATATAGTTATTTTGGAGGGTTTCATATAAAAAATTTAGCAATGTCGAAATGTTTTTCGAAAATACATTTACAGTATTCAAAAATAATTTAAGCACACATGTATATTTTTCTTATTTGCGATCATCTACAGATCTATATAAAAAATTAAATAAGATTTAGTTTATTTTTGAAAAAATTGAATGCAAACAAAAATTAAATGGGTTTCAAAGTTAAGAAAAAGCAGCGCGCTTTAAAAATAAATGGAAATTTGAAAAATCTTATTTACATTTCAAAATTTAAAATCGGAAAATTGATGAGAATGTTTAGAGGCCCCATTTAAACAATAACATTAATTCAAATTTAGGCCACGCCAAGTTAAAACTATGTTTAACATAACCCCTTTGAGCCTCAGATATAGGGGTAAATAATATCACTTAATATAAAAAGGGAGCTCCTATTTCCACCATGAAAATTTGCTATTTCCACCATGCTTTTCACATGAGTTTCAGCTACATAAGCATGATTTCATGGTGGTTCCCTAAAACGTATGTTATTTTCAAATTTAAAAATAAATTCGTCAATTAATACCCTGTAAAAAATTTTTTCTGAATATTTCTCCATATTTTTTGTGAAAATTCCGTGAATCTGCAACATGATCGACAAAATCTAGGCAATAATCTCCATGATTTAATGTTATAATTCCGTGAATATGCAACATTTATGGACAAAACACGGAATATAAAACACGGATCGACTTTTTTTATAGGGAAAGTTGACATACATTGAGAAATGACGCATAACATTTCGAAAGGAGTTTCGCAGTATGGTAGATTATATAAGACATTGTACATAGCAACCGCATAAAAATGAGTCCTATGTAAAGTAGTATAGTATGAGATAGAAAAGTAGTTGAGTAGGATCACAATTTATTATCATACTCACGTGTATGGTAAAGTTATTATACCGATCATACTTATATGTAGTAAAACAATTATAGCGATTATACTTATGTGTAGTAAAACTATTATATTGATCATACTTATGTGTATATAACGACACATCAATGATAAAACATTGATTATTTAAATAATATCATTATTATGTAAATGTTTATAATAATAGGTTACATGTGTACGATGATAGAAGTCTGATTATTCAATTGATTTATTAAATAAAATATTCGTAACGATAGTTTTAGCTTCATTTACAATCTTTTGTACAGGTAAAATGTATTATTAAAATGGGTATTTTGAAATATTGAGAAATTTCATCAAATAAAAATAAAATTTTTAGAATTTTTTTAAAATGGAAAATTTTACTGTACAAATTATTGATGGGATTGAAACGATTTATGAGGAAGATCTTGAACGTCTTGAGCGTCTTGAAAGCTATGAAACTATTGAAGTAACTAATAAGTTATTATATTTAAAAAGTAATTATTTAAAATTTTAATTAAAACAACTAATTATTTATAGTGCTTAACTTCGGATAAAGAGTCTGATGATGTTGAATATGATTCGACAACTACATATGAAATAAATAATGAAAGCACAGTAACTTACTTTACAAAGGAATTAACAGCGCAAATTGTTAATCATATATTAACACCCGTTGAATACCTTGCAACAAATCCAGAAGGTATCGCTTATGTATTTAACATTGAAGGTTGGGAGGAACCATTAGCGGCATTTAAAGATGTAAGTAATATAATTTAAAAAGTTTAATTATACAGTATTTAAATTACTTACTTTATATATTGTAGATCCAATATTCAATTGGTAAACCTGGTGGCGAATACAAAGTTATGTGCCCTTACCTTAATGTTAAAGCAAAACGAGAAATGCGAACTTGCCAAGGTTCAAAATTGTGTGAATTTTCTGCTGATGAAATTTAAAATGAAACACATCAAAGTGTAGATATTGAGTCGGATCTTATGGCACGAATTACACAAGAAATTTCATCTGATAATTTAAATAATAAT